ATGTGCGTTACATCAAGAATGTGTGTGATACAAACTGTTAATATTATTGTTAGGACCAAAAGACCAATAATTATTTTACCCCTTTTACCAGAAAAAAACAAAACGATCCTCTCAACGTCTCATAAACCCTTCTCAACAACCTAAGATCCTACCAACTTCATCTCCCACCCAGAACCTATTACATTCATTCTAATTACACATTAAGATCCTGGTCCTACCTTAATACCTAGCCTACAACCTGCTGTGACCTTGCTCGTATAATTAGGTTACATGTTATTGGATAACATTTACATCGAGGTTAACGACTGCCTAAATACGAGGCCAGATTACATTAGGGCGTGAAAATGTATATATAACGTTGTGTTATTTGATGTTATAGGTACGAGTTGTAACTGAAAAAAGAAAGTGTAATAACTACATTTTATTGCATTAGCTATTTGGCTACTGCTCGGCTCCTATTAATGGTAGCGTGATGTTTTATAGCATATAGTTTTCCTTGATAAAAGGACTATCTGACAAAAAATTATTATTCAATTTGAGCCAGTAGTTCTGGAGATTGATGCGTTCAAACAAGTAAACTTTACAGCTTTATAATATTACTAGCCCAATTACCCTCCCCTTCCTCAATCTCCCCAATCCCTGAATCCCCAACGATCCTCAAACTCCCAATCCCCAAAAAGCCGGTAACGCACTTGTAACGCCTCTGGTGTTCCAGGTGTGCATGGGCGACGCCGATTGCTTACCATCAGGTGATCCCTCTACTCGTTTACCGTATACGTACGTAATATGCTTATAAATAAAATGATCATGTGTATACTTATGAAAATTCCTGAAACCTTAAAGACATTGGAACGTCGCCACAGCAGGTTTTCACCATCACTGTAATGAAACTCTCTGCATAATACTTTACCTTTTACAATTATCTTGTAAACTTTATTATAATGGTTAATTAATTGCAAATGAAAGCTTAGTAAATTATTCACCATTTCCTACGAATACCATTATATTTAAAGCGTCCATATTTCTGAACTCCCGGATTGAAACCGCAGCGCCGCTGGAAATAGCTGTTTGTATACAATTCATGCCTTTAATTGTGCTGCCTGAATGTTTAATTACTCGAGTATTTCAGTCATCTGAATTCAGTTCTGTTAATTAATGCGTAAACATTGCCTGTTGCAAATTCTACTGTGGAGCGGTAATGAAACTATTTTTATTTCAGATCTTTTTATTTTCAAAATGTGAGTTGTAATTCTTTGAAATAGTATTCAGGTGACGTATTATGACGTCTTAAAGCCGATGTGGTTCCGCCGAGGGAACGAGATCTCGCTAGACGACGTGTATAGCTCTGTTTCTTTCCCTTAATGCAACTATTCTGACTTTAGGACGCCATATTAACCCCACTGTATGATTTTTATAACGATGGCATTGTGTCATGATAAATGCTAAATTCGGTTCATTTTGAATAACCACCTCCATTGTCATCGTAAACCATTCACAGCTAAAAGGCGTTGGGGTTTTCATTCCTCTCACATTTGAGAATTTATTATATAACTACAAAAAATAAAATGTCTCAAGATTATGAACTGGACATCTACTTCAATAACCAACCATCATCATCAACAAAAATCAATAATAATCCAACATAAAATCGGGCCTACACGTTTTAATTTATGAAGGCTTTCCTCAAAGAGAGATTTACCCTCTTTGTAGACCTAAGGCCTAAGGGTACTACCACAATCTAAACTGATATAAACTTGAGACGTAATTCTGACTACACTTAAAAAGGTTCAGTTCAAACCTTCCTACTCCCACATTTAACCTTTGCAAGCCCACGCTTGCTTCAGGCTAGGTTATGTTGTCATCATGTATTTACTCTTCTCTAAACTAGTCATCATTATTACCGAGCATTAAACCCTGGATTAAATTCTTAATTCTCAAACACTTTTGGTTAAATTTTTGCAAGATAGTGATACATTTTTTTTAGGGGCGAAAGTTTTCGCATGACTTCTCCCGCCTGGGTGAGGCGGGAGGGAGTGTCAGACTCTTACTGACTAAAAACCACCCCGTTCCTTCTCCTGCACGTCGAGCCGGAGCCCCGGTTACCCGTTAGGTCCTCCGCGACATAGTGATACATTAAGATACTACCATTCTATAAAAGTATTGTTCTATCAATTGTAAATAATATTCTGTACAGTAGTTGACAGTAAGTCAAATGTAATACCTTTATTGAAATGTCAAAAACGACACTTATCTATGAATTTTGTATTAGATCGCAACCTGTTACGTCATCATATTTCTGCGTCAAACAGCATACTTATTTCCTTAAAATTAGCAAGAAAAAATCCAAAAGTAGGTACATTGTCAAATCAATCGATGAGAGTATGATTATTTTTTAATTATTTATTGCACTAAGTGTGGGAGAGCCATGCTTCGGCACGAATGAGCTGGCTCGACCGGAGTGATACCACGGCCTCACAGAAAACCGACGTGAAGCAACGCTTGCGTTGTGTTTCGTCGTGTGAATGAGGTTACCGGAGGCCCAATTACCAATTATCCTCCCCTTCCCCAATCTCCCCAATTCCTGAATTCCCAACGATGCGATCCTCAAACTCCTAATCGCCAAAAGCCCGGTAACGCACTTGTAACGCCTCTGGTGTTCCAGGTGTCCATGGGCGACGCCGATTGCTTACCATCAGGTGATCCGTCGGCTCGTTTACCGGCTTCTACCATAAAAAAAACTGATAAGTCGAAACATTTTATTTTAAACTTAGGAAACTACTCAATTTGAAGGAACTATCACCTAAGGTACAGGCTCGGCCTAGTTTAGATGTTAGTATTCGTAAACTGTGTGTCTAATGTTTTTGTTACAATAAACACTTTCTATTATTTTATTGTTATACTCCTTGTAGAGAGTGTAGATTTCGTGGGTTACATAACTGGCGGAAAGTGGATGTTACATTTATTGCTTCAATTTAATCATTATTAAATTAATACGGTAACGTGTTTTTATGTTTATAATGAAATTCAATGTGGTCAAAGACTGGGATTAATATTATACTGAAATCATTTCACATATATAACATCAACAACACCTTATGACTTTACGAAATAATAATATCATGACATAACATTACGCCTTTTATCCCCGAAGGGGTAGGCAGAAGTGCTCACAGAAGTAACACCCACTTTTCACTATTTATGTTATGAGTCCCATGTAATAGGGGGTGAGCCTATTGCCATATACCGGGCACAATTCCAGACTCCGTGCTACTACTGAGATTGTTTTAAACCCAGTAATTCTTTGCCCGACCCGGGAATCGACCCCTTGCCCCTTGCACTCGGCCAACGAGGCAGTCAGCAGGCACGAAATAATAATATCTGCAATGTTATATACAGTATGTAATGTAAGACGCTAAAATAAATGAATATAGTGCATTATTCTGTTCTCTGTCTTCGTGTATTAAAGTTAATTAGTACTTATTCGTGCAAATTTTTACCACACGTGAAACTGTAATTATGCGATCTCGATTTTTTCATCATTAAAATATTTTCAGTATTAGTCATTCATAGGTTGTTTGCTATTTATTTTTAACTCGTCGAGTACCGGTTTTGTAGACACAATTATAGAACAATAGGTTGCGGTCACCGGTGACCGCTTGGTGTTTGACAGTTTAAAAGAGTGAAACCTTATGATGCAATATTATTCAGTGACTGATTAATTAGTATTTGGAGTATAATTACATACCTATTTAATAATAATAGATGCTTAATTACTAGTTATTTTAATTTATTTGTTAAAAACATCTTTTCAAAAATATGTGAAAATGTCGAATATGTTACCATTTTTTAAGTCCTTTAAACGAAGTTAACAACAGTCTAAACAGACTGTTGTCTGTTGTATGTATGTCTTATGCTATGATGCCTCGAACTTAACAAAGTTCATAGCATAAGACATGAACAATCGCACAAAAAATATATTTTATACGCATTGAACTTAAGACTTGCTTACTAGAAACTTTTTTTTTACATATTATCACGGCTACAAAAAAAAACAAACGTAATCTCATTAAATTACAACCGTTTTACAACCATCAATCCTTTTCCTAAGCGACCATTAATCCTTTGCGACCGGCAATTTTTTAGCCAAGTGTCTTATTACATTTTTTTTCCTTAATAGTCGTTATCTGTCTCCTTACACGACGTACGGAGGCAATTTCGTTTTCAAAATTGAGTTCTAAGTGTCATTAATGTTAGATGAGCGCTCACATTTGGAAGTTACACTGTCACGCGAATTTGTGACGTCATAGGACACTGACGTATGATTACAAGGAACGTCTTTAAGGGCCAAAACACACAACAACATACACACAGACAGCAGCGTCACTGCCGATTTAAGCGCGCGGCGCCGCAACGCAGCGCTCGTTCCAGCATAGCAGAGCTTAATGTCTTCTTAATAACAAATAAGCAATAAGTTTTTCACGATGGTCCATGGCAGATAGACACGTCTATCCACAATAAAACATCACGACGAACTGGTTACCCTACCGAACGACAATAGAATGCTCTTTTTGACGACGCCGCAACGCAAACTGCTGATTATAGCGTTGCGGCGAAGCAACGCGGTTATGTGTTTCGGCCCTTATGGTTTTAGTGTACCCAAATAAAGCGAGAGGACCGACTCTATTTGAGTACACCAAAACCCTGTTATGATATCTATCAATGTTGTGATCGCCAAACGTTCTCATACAAGTTAATTCGCAAATCACATCAACTTCTGTTTTTTAACTTCTATAAATTCTAAATTTGTGTTCCAACTTGAATTAGAATTACATTCCAATAATGCTTAATGTTTACCGTGAATTGGCATCTGCATTAATCAATCAACCGGCTGCCGCGGTACGTGTCGCACCCACGACACAGGAGAAACTCTTAGTTTTATGGTCGTCTGTAATGACCTCATTACTTTATAACTTATAAAGTTGTATTCTGTATTGTTACAGCGCTAGTCGCACTTGCCAGGCGGAGGGCGCGCCGGAGCAGGACTCCGCGCAGCCCACCGTCGACCTGCCACGCACCCGCGATGGAGAGATCGACTATGATGGTAAGCAAACATGACATGAACACCTTTATCCCATTAACTGCATCATTCATCACCATGCTGCCATCACTGCTGAAACTACAGTAGGTACAGAACGACACTTACTACGATCTTTGCATGCAAATTGGACATTTCCTTTTCTTCTCCAATTATGTCTTTTGATTGTTATTTGCGTTGCGGGTTCCAAGATCTTCGGCCCACGTTCAGCTAATGCGCCGTACACTGCTCGCAAGCATTCTACTCTTTTATTTAAGGCTGTTCTGAGCAACCATTATAATCTTTTATTAAGCTATATCAGTTCTTCCCACTATGCATGAGCGCCTGGAGAGGACATGGTTGGAGGTGGATCACTGTGTTGCTCAATTTCTTACTGGCCACGGCAACCTTAAAAGCAAATTGTTCTCATTTAAACTTGTTGATACACTATGGTGCCAATGTTCGACGGCGGAGCTGCAATACGAGCAGTCCGCCCATCACATACTCTGGGAGTGTGATTTCTGGCAATATGAACGTAACACTATATGTTAAATAAATTAATTGTTTCGTCAGGTGTAGCTTATTATACGGACCTTGTGGAATCTAGAACAAATTTCGTTTAGGCGCTAACCATTAGAATTCAGTATGGTTCCGTCAAGCCGGTGTGATCCAAAGAATTCAGTATATTAACATATACATTACCTACCAAAAATTCCCTATATCCCATATGCAATTATGTATCAGAGTTCCAAGAACATTTTGCGTCCATTCCCCTCACTCACGCTTCCAAGGAATATCCTATGACACAGTCCCTACCCACCAGCAGTGGAGTTTTATGTGGCTTCAGATTAGCATACAATGCTTTGAACAGTGGCTATTCGCGAGTATCATATGTCATACATACATGTAATGACGTGGTAGCCCTTTATTGTTTAATGTCACATTAATATTTTAAGTACCCATTATTTTCGTCCGTCAGTTTTGTGTTTTAGTGCTTCTGTTAATATGTTCGGTATGGCTAACTGATAGTAATCTTGATTGTTGTGTGTGTGTGTGTGTGGGTGTGTGTGTGTGTGTGTGTGTGTGTGTGTGTGTGTGTGTGTGTTGTTTTACTCATTGTTAAAGTGTTAAGTACATTAGTCTGTCGCCGATCTTTTCAAACCCGTATTATCCCTAATAGTTCAGTAATTTAGTAGTTCTACCTGGAATATTCCGGGAGTTTTGAAAATTAGCAATTTTATACATTTTGATGCACTCCTTTTGTCTTCCATTCTGCGTCTTTGTACGTGCGCCGCTCGCGCCGCCATCAACAGCGTCCAAGAACAGATTTTTACAATATCTCTTTTCATGTGCATTTTATGAGAAAACCGTTAACTACAAAATTAAATTACTCACAATTTTCTACAATATGTCTAGACAGCTTTTTCAAATAATTGATACCGATTCGGGTACCGATCGAGACATCGGATCAACTACACATGTACAAGTAAACTCTTCTTAATTTAAAAACACAAAAACTTACCACGCATCTTTAAAACTATATGGCATTCTTGGAATTAAGCTAAACTAAACCTTTTACCCCTAGCTTAATGATTTATATTTCTTTGACAGCGCTGTACGAGGACGAGTCGGACAGCGACCTCGGGTCTATGGAGAACCATGGATCCGTGGTCACCCATCTACTGTCACAAGTCAAGATTGGAATGGATCTCACTAAGGTACAGTGACGCGTCATTATTATTCAGCTGCAAAAGTGGACTTTTATAGTGACATCAACAGTTAAAAGTGTTCGGCATTTCTGTCTCGTTTCCCGAGTCAAGGGGTCTCGGGTCTCGGATTCTATTCCCGGGTTGGGCAAAATATTACTGAATTAAAAAAAAATCGGAGTAGTAGCACGGTGTCTGGAATTGTGCCCGGTATATGGCAATAGGCTCACCCTCTATTACATGGGACTCGAAACATAAATAGTGAAAAGTAGGTGTTACATTGTGCAATGGCATTAAGTGCCGCAATGTGCACCTCTGCTCACCCCTTCGGAGATAAAATGCGTGATGTTTCATGTTATATATTCGGCATTTCCTAACTTACTCCTCAGGGAAGGAACATGAATAAATTCAGAGACGCACAGTACTTAGAATAATCTAACAACTAAAATGATGTTTGAACTTTAAGAGAAAGGTTCTGCTAGCCTCACTTATGTACCTACATATTTGTCAAATTGCTTTCAACGCTAATGCGTTAATAGGGTAGCTAGGATAATTCCTAGCATGGAGAAAAACAATACATTTCTTACAGTCTGATAACAATATAGCATCAATTAGTATAAATAGATTTTAATTGTCAATCGATTGTCAACAGTATATTCGCGTCTAAGGTATAAATATTCACGTTAGATACTGACACCTTTAGTAATTCATGCGTAAATCGACATTATATATAAAGTAGGTTCCTACAAAGTAAAGTACATACAGTTCAGTTTACCTAGCTCACATAAAGTAACGAAGCGTTTCACTTAAATTTTTTGATAAATACCACTAAGAAGTTAATTCCCTGACAGAGTCTGTATTGCCTAAAGAGTAAATGGAATAAAATTCATTATCATCATCATCATCATCGACAGCCGTAAGACGTCCACTGCTGCTAGACAAAGGCCTCCCTCTTAGTCCTCCACGTCGAACGATAACTCGCCACCCGCACTGTATAAACCTGGGTGTCCCTCAAGTCCAGGTTGAATAGATAGTTCGCTCATGTATATGATACAATGATGTTCTTGTTCCAGGTTGTGCTACCTACATTCATACTAGAGAGGCGATCGCTTCTAGAGATGTACGCAGACTCCTTCGCGCACCCTGACCAATTTGTTAAGTAAGTCTTATTCATTTTTAACAGACTCCACTGAACCTTTTAGAACTAAAAACTTCTACTAAGCCGTACTTTTGTACGTACGCATTTTTGTTATGGATTCCTAAAAGAATACAACTGCGATAAGCAAGCAACTGGATCACCTAACGCCTATTGGTAAGCAATCAGCGCTGCTCACAAACCGCAGCAACAAAATTATGACATTTGAATATTTAAGATTTGGAGTGGGGCCGCCTCTAACCTTATTCAGACTGCGAAATACAACGCAATCGTTGTTTCATAGAAGTGAGGTCTTAGTATGCCACCGATCGAGTCGACACATTCGTTCCGAAGCATCGCTCTTCAACTTAAATTTGTAGATAACAATCATTTTAATTCATATAAATTTTCAGGATAGTAGACCAGCCGACTCCTCGCGATCGCATGATACAAGTAGTGCGTTGGTACCTGAGCTCATACCATGCCGGCCGCAAGTCACAGGTCGCTAAGAAACCATACAATCCCATACTGGGAGAGGTGTTCAGATGTCACTGGGACCTGGACGGCATGCCTGAGAACAATTCTAGTAATGATAAGGTGAGTTGTTGGATTTTAGTATTTATTGATATTGGTAGTTTATACAATGACATGTTACAATCAAATATGAACCATAAGGTTCATATTTCATTGTAACATGTCAGTGTCTTTTGTTGTTTAGTTTTGAAGTCTGTTACAGCCATAAGTATGTTAGTAATGTTAAGTTGAAAGTTGAGTTTAGTTATTTAATATGTCAAAGGAACGTCTAGAACAGTCGTCCCAAATTAATCGAGCGAATAATGTGGTATACTAAGGGCCAATTTTTCAATCTACAGATAATTCTTAACTGTAGAATAAAAATGTCAGTTGACAGTTTTTAGTACGGATGAATTGTCAAATATTCAAAGATAGTTACTGAGTTAAAATTGGTCTGAGCATTTAAAAATTGGCACTAAACATAATAACTTAGTATTATGTTCAGCGGGTTGTGAAGTGCAAAATTTCAAATAAATCTAGCCCTTAACCTAACTAAAAGCAGTGCCAGAAGAAAGGAAAGGCAAAAAACCTTCTTATAATAACTAAAATTTCTGCTTATATAAGTATAACTTAATTCTATTTAAACTGTCAAACACCAAGCGGTCACCGGTGACCGCAACCTATTGTTCTATAATTGTGTCTACAAAACCGGTAATCGACGAGTTAACTTAGACGCGGAGAACCTAGCAGGTTACCGGGGCTCCGACTCGATGTGCAGGAGTAGTCACGGGGTGGTTTTTAGTCAGTAAGAGTCTGACACTCCCTCTCGCCTCACCCAGGCGGGTAAAAAATTCGATGATTTTCCTCCCTTAAAAAAAATCTATTTAACTTAAATACTCATTATCAGAATCTATATCACTTATACTCACAAACTTCGACCTCACCTCCACAGCAAGAAGTAGGTGACGGGCCAGTACCGTGGTGTTCTCCAGACCAGCTATCCTTCGTAGCAGAGCAAGTATCCCACCACCCGCCCATATCAGCGTTCTACGCGGAGCATGTGAACAAACGTATACAGTTCGAGGCCTGGGTGTGGACTAAGAGCAAATTCCTCGGCCTCTCCATCGGAGTACATAATATTGGTAAAGGAACTGTCACGCTGTTGGATACCGGAGAAGAATATACGCTTACATTCCCTAATGGATATGGCAGGTGAGATTCACATTTACTGCTATTTAAAATTACAATTAAAAAACAAACTGTTAAAGTGAGCTCTAGCCTAAAACCTTCTTGACTAATATTAAAGCACTTATGCCGGAATACTGAAACGTTACTCAATTTTAAGTCGTGCTTAAATATCGTGCCATCTCTGTCATTTCACAAAGAATTTGTTGAGGCAGAACTATACTTAAGCGCGACTTAAAATTGAGTAGCGTTTGAGTATTCCGACATTAGTGTATAGAATTTCTTCTTAACGATTGGTTTCTCAATTTAAAGTCGGAGCATTATTAAAACACTGAATTTATTATCTTTGTATGAAATTTAAAAATTCTTAATTATTTTTGACTGCCTCGTTGGCTGAGGTCGCCTGTGTGTCTGACGTGCAAGGGGTCTCGGGTTTGATTCTGGGGCCGGGCAAAGTATTACTGGGTTTAAAAAAAAATCAGTAGTATCACGGAGTCGTGAATTGTGCCCGGTATATGTAATATGTGGTATATGGCAATAGGCTCACTCCCTATTACATGAGACTCATAACATAAATAATGAAAAGTGGATGTTACATTGTACAGTGGCATAGTGTGCAACTTTGCCTACCCCTTCGGGGATAAAAGGCGTGATATTATGTTATGTGTATTTTGTATGTTTGTTTGTTTTTACGTGCTCTATAATAGAACAAACATTTTCTAAAACGACGGAAAAACCATTTATAAAAAAATAAATCATACATTAATTTTGTAGCCTTATTCTCTAAAAAAATACTTCGACATCTCTTAATCTTGACTGCACGGTTGGTGCGGTGGCTGGGCAACCGGCTGCCGTGCAACGTGTCGCGGGTTCAATTCCCGCACGGAACAACACTTTGTGTGATCCACAAATTGTTGTTTCGGGTCTGGGTGTCATTGTATATATGTGAACTTGTATGTTTGTAAACGCACCCACGACACAGGAGAAAATCCTAAAGTGGGGCAACGTTTTTAAAAAAAAAAAAAAATCACCATCACCTTCTTCATCCACAGATCAATACTAACAGTCCCCTGGATAGAGCTGGGTGGCTCAGTCGTCATAGAATGCGTCCAAACTGGCCACAAAGCGAATATCGAGTTCTTGACCAAGCCATTCTACGGCGGCAAGAAACATCGAGTGACGTGTGAAGTATTCGCTGGAGCCGACAAGAAACCCTACTATACAGCACAAGGAGAATGGAACTCCAGAATGGATGGCAGATGGACTGACTCTGGTGTATGTAGACTTTTGAATATATATTTTTTTTACTGACTGCCTCGTTGGCCGTTAACAAGGCGTTATCAACAACACGTCCATTAACTATACATTGATGCGTCCCCAGCGCTCAGAAGTCCTGTTCGAAGTGAGCAGTATGAAGGCGCGGCGCAAGCGCGTGGCGCCAGTGTCGCGGCAACAAGGCCACGAGTCGCGGCGCGTGTGGCGCCACGTGACGTGCGCGCTGCGCGGCGCCGACTGCGACGCCGCCACGGCCGCCAAGCGCGCCGTCGAGCAGGCGCAGCGGGACGCCGTCAAGGCCAGGGACGCCAACGGGGAGAAGTGGAACACGCTGGTGAGCTTACTACTAAATAGATGTCTAATTCGTCCCGCCATCTCCTTTTGGCCACGAAAAGCTATATATAGAGAGGAGTGAAAGAAGGGTAGGGAGGCCTTTGCCCTGCACGTAAGACGAGCAGGGCAGAAAATAATAATAAATAAATAATAATAATTTCTGTAAATAGGCTACAACTTGTAGCCTATTTACTACAAGGCAACATTGCGTGTCAATTTTTCAAGCGAACATTTAGGCCGACGTATTCTGACTACTCTGAGAAGAAACAAAGTGACTCGACTGCACGATTGGTGCGGTGGCTGGGTAACCGGCTGCGTGCAGCGTTGCACGGGATCGATTCCCGCACGGAAAAATACTCTGTGGTCCACAAATTGTTGTTTCCGGTCTAGCTGTCATATGTATGTGAATTTGTATGTTTGTAAACGCACCCACGACACTACAGAAAATTCTAATGTAGAGGAACATTGTTTAGAACATAAAAAAGTCACTGATATTCAGCCTCCATAAGACCAACTTGACTAAAAGTCAAAGGGTGTTTTTGGTCCCAACTGTAAAACCTCATTACGTGCATTGCGGGGGTTAAGAATAAATGTAGTGCTTGTTGTAAAACATTTCTCTCACTACATTATAACATAGTGTCTAACAATATCTGACCTTAAAATCTCCAGAATATAAGATTAGGCATAGTATCAAATCATTAAATGTAATATTATTTCGTTTCAGCTGTTCAGTCCGAAGGGCGACGACGGTTGGGAGTATATGACGCCGCTGTCCAAACGTGTTCCCTCCGCTAAGACGACGCCACAACACAAAAACGGTGAAACGGCAGAGAACACTAGATAATCTACTCAAATACCAACCTTGGACTATTAGGATAAGGTAGAAATTCCTTTGTCACAGCAAAACGGACCTTGTAGGGTAGGACAATGTTCACAGTGACGCACTGTTCCAATGACATTACACTTCGGGTATCTCCGGCAATCGTCGGGCGTGAGAGAGAGATGGGGGACATCTGTCTTCTTTTTCTATTATTCGAAGTGTTGTGTCGTTTATTTTAGGTATCGGGAAAGTTGGACCGTTGTTGTCTCTTTTGCCATAATTTTACGGTTTTGGATGTCGCGCATGCTATGGGGAGTAAGAAATAATAATAATTGTTTACTGACATAATGTGGAATATAAAGGATTCGAATTACCATTTCAATGGCTTTATATCAAACAGAATTTTATGATGCGTTCACAATCCGACAAAAATCTTAATAGTAAAGTAATAAAGTTTAGTCTAGTAAAGAAAGACAGTTTGTATCTGTTGAAAGAAAGGGACACAAGAAATGTTTAAGTGAGACAACAATACATTTACAGTCCTTACCTTCTTAAACATAGTTACTTGGGCTCAAGTCCAAACGAGAAATCGAAGGTCAAGTTTTAACGGCTTGAATGCACCTATATGAGACAGTAGAAAATACATTGTGTCTCGCGTGGATCCACGTTTAGACACACGACGGGTTAAGGGATATAACACATGTGTATGTATGTACTAATATTAATATATATACTTGATTGAAACCCAAACAAACTTATGAACTATTATCAATCAATACATAGTATAAAACAAAGTCGCTTTCGCTGTATGTCCGTATGTATGCTTAGATCTTTAAAACTACGCAACGGATTTTGGTGCGGTTTTTTTTAATGGATAGAGTGATTCTTAAGGAAGGTTTGTATGTATAATACATGCATATTGCACCCGTGCGAGGCCGGGGCGGGTCGCTAGTTATACTATAAACTGCATTTTAAGAAAGTCTTTTAAAAGAAAAATGTCTCAGACAGTAATCATTGTCTAATACTTTCTTATAGTCCAATCCACTATACTTTTATGAATGAGAAAATAAAAACTATCGATACATGACCATCGATATCGACATTTCTAACCTTCTAGCATGCGCGACACTATTTATACTAAGTTTTATTTTATAATTAATATTTTCTTATAAATTCTCAATTCTATATGGCCTATGATAGTTGATTCAGCAATAAATAAATGGTTATTGTAAATAGTACTCTATTGCTATTCATATTGCAACGCTTTTTGTAAATTTTTTGTTCGTCTCGGACACGCGATACGCACGATAGAGCCAAGGACTTAGAAATAATATTGTTACATTTATAAGTACGTATACTATACAACAAGCAGATCAAGCTACCCCAAAAACGATTATCTATCTTTTAGCTTTGTGTTAAAGTTGAATATTATATTCAGCAATTAATTTAAAATGATTTCAACCTTCTTTGTTGGGTTAACGATGTAACGACATTGTCTTCAAGAAATCTTTACCTGATTTTCAACTTTCTTACTTTGTATTTAAGTCGAAAATTCTTTAGTGTTTTTATTCTTGTAGAATTTTCTTTTTAAGGATTCTTCAGACGATTCCCAACCTTCTTTCTTTGTGTTTAAAGTTGAGTTTCATTTAAAGGATTTGGTCAACCTTAATTGCATTAAAATTGATAATCTTTTCAAAAATTCTTTAGACGATTTTCAACCTTCTTAATTTGTGTTTAAACTTGAAATTTGTTTAAACGATTAGGGGTAGGTTGATGTGCGTGTGTAACTGTCGGGTGAGTTATACAGTAGTGGGATGGTTCGCGAATTTATCGAGTATTAAATTATTATCAGAGAAATGTTATTCTAGTGAATAGTTGGATTTAGACGGCAGCTGTAGCGTTGAACTTCGTATTCTCTGTACAACATTGTGGCATTTCAACATTCTGCCAAGCGGTTTTCGCCTTTATTTCTTCAGAAATAAAGACTAATACGACTGCAAATTGAACTTTGCAAAAGTTCACTAAAGGTGTATTTATTATGTCTACGCAATGAGACTCAAATTCCATTGAAAAAATAAGTTATAAAGCGAATGTAATTTCAAATTAAGTTAGGCCAACATTTGCAGTCCATATAACACTTACTTGTACGCAATATGATTCAAAATTGATTAAATAAACCTTGTAAAGTTTGTTGAAATGTCAATTGTTTGAAACATGAGTATGGTTTTGTAAAATATGACAAGTTTTCTGTAAGATTATCTTCGTCATCATCGGACCTGCATCGACATTAGCAAATACATTGACAATCATGTTTTTACCAAGGACGTTGATAGAAGGGCGGACACAGTTCGTTGACACAACGACTGTGGCATCTGTGCCTTTAGTCAAACGCCACTTTAGCGCCTGTCTACAGAGAGAGTAGAAAACTAAATGTATGGGGATGACACTGACAAGTGTCAAAATTTACGTCAATCCCATATAATTTTGATTTTCTACTCTAGAAGTAGACAAGCGCTTAATGGCATTTGGCTACAGCTGCAGGCTACTATAGAGTTACACACAGAACACACAGTGACACGGAGGACATCGTGCATGTTCTCAAGTCTGGGACGTGGTCACACACGCACACATAAGAAACCCGTGGTATTTTAGTGCTGCAATCATTGCTAAGTAACATTATGTCCGACTTTTATTCAACGTCCTTGGATTTTGTAGTATCTCTTAATACCTGTAGTAAGTATAGAATTGTAAGGTGAAGGAAGTTGTTGGATGTGCAATTTTGGAACGTATTGTTAAGGTATGTAAGGGTGATTTTGCATTGAGTATTGTTACCTACTAATGATTTTATGACCTTGAGGCGCTAGTGACGTATTAAAGGATACTATAGGCTATCATACTTTTTAATGGAGGGGGGGAATCATCGAATGACTTCTCCCGTCCGGGTGAGGCGGGAGGGGGCGTTAGACTCTTACTGACTAAAAACCACCCCGTTTCTGCTTAACCCTTTAACCGCCGACAACGTAATATTACGGTTTTCGAAAGCTTGGTCCGAATCGCCACATACGTACAATCACGTTATTTTATTAAAAATCTTCTTATAGTGCACAAACTCCATATAAAATGTGTCAATTTCAAGATGTAGGGTATAATCTTTATTGTTATGGATATTTCTTCAATGTTTTGAGTGATAAATACTGTGAAATTTGAGGTTTAATTAAATTGTGGTCACCGTCTCCATTATCTGTATCGCCAATCACGTAATTTTACGAGTACTAGGGATGGGGCGAATTCGAAAAATATTAATAGGTTGTCTAAGAACAAACAAGGCACTATAGATATTACTGTCACTATTTGCAATGAAAGTGTATACTTTCATTAGAAAATAACCATAGTGTTACTTTGATACAAGTATTTGTACTAATTAAAATGTATTTAAGTTTAAAATTATTTAATATTTATAACAATAATATAAAAATTTTATAACGCAGAACCGCACTAGTGCGGACAATCGCCGGTCGCCATCATCGTAATATTACGTGCGGCCAAGGACATTATAGCGCTGTATTGTGAGTTGCCTTAGCGCCGTCACCGTAAAATCACGTTAAACATTTATCACTCAATGCAACTAGTGTTGTAATCCCTTTTTTGGGTTTTTGTTATTTCTCAAATAAATCAACACAGTCAAAACCAAATGTGTCCATTATGCAAAGTTAGAAGATGGTGACGCAAAAGTTTTTCATCAGAGACCAAGTGATCCACGAAATGAATACTTTGCATCTTTAAAACCTTTTAAGCTGGAAACCGTACTGTCGGAAATCCGTTCAGAAGTTTACATGAAAATATTAAATTTAATACGACATGCTCGTGGAGCATCGTCACCGTCGCCAGCAGGAGAACGGACGACGTTGTGCTCATTTCCCGAATACACATTTTCGTATACTTCGTTTGAAGATTGAAAATTTTTAGATTATTTATTAAGTAGGTAAATAAAACATTGATTTTAATTTTTTAACTCGTCGAGTACCGTCATTATAGACACAATTATAGAACAATAGGTTGCGGTCACCGGTGACCGCTTGGTGTTTGACAGTTTAATTAATAAAGAATATATGTATCGATATTAAGTGTTCCCAACACTGTTCCAACTTATACCTAAAGTGACGTGGCGCTGGAGGTAAGTTGAAAGTTCAGAATCTTGGCGGTTAAAGGGTTAAGCACTGCAAGCCGAAGCCCCAGTAATTTTTCACGTTCTCCGCGGCTTCGTATGACATATATATACTTAGACCAACAATTTATAGATCACACAAAAAATTGGATACTTGACAACTAGTCAAATTCAATACTTTTTTTGAACTGCCAAAAACGAAAGTTTTCTATGAATGTTGTACGAGATTGTGTGTTGTGACGTCACGTTTTTTCCGCGTCAAACAGGATTCTTTTCTTAAAAATTTGCTGGAAAAATGTTCAAATTAAATTGGTCATAAAATCAATTAATGAAAGTGTGATTGTTTTTTAATATTTTATTGTATTAAACAGTCGAAATGATTTATTTTTGATTGAGGGTAGAATAGAGTACCCAATTGTTCAGTGACGGGATGTACACATTGCGTAACGATCTGTATCGAGTGGTGTTATAATAACTCAATGCAAGATCACTTAAAAGAAAGTTGGCCCGATAGTACGAAGTAATGTAGTTTCAATGTAAATCTCTCATACAAACTAGAATCCTTGTAAATTGTATACTTTTTATATGCTACCGTAGTTGAGACGTAGTGCTACTCTCTTCGCGTAATATCCCGAACATCCTGATTCTATCATAGAGTTTTATTTCGAAGACGACCCTGTGCCTTTAGCCAAACGTCACTTTAGCGCTTATCTACAGAGAGAGTAGAAAACTAAATGTATGGGGATGACACTGACAAGTGTCAAAGTTTACGTCAATCCCATATATGTAATTTGGTTTTCTATTCTACAAGTAGACAAGCGGTAAATGGCATTTGGCTACAGCTGCTATTGGCTCGAGTGATCACAAGCGTGACTAACGGGTTACGGAATCGATCTCGCCATTCGTGGCAAGCGATGAATTATTAAGATTTTTTTTTTAATTCTCGGTGATGTAGAAAGGCTAGGATCGTGCTTGGTACATGACAGTAGGCTCACCTCTATCAATATTTAGGACTCATAATTGGTGAATAGTAGATGTTACATTATTGATGTCAACTGCATATTCCTTTAGGAATAAAGCCGTGATACTACATTTATGTTAAGACCGCTTCTCTCTAAAGTAGATGACATCATAACATATCGTTCAAACAACGGGATATTACTCTTTCTGCCTACCCATTATTCAGTTGCCGTGACGGCTCGCCCACCTATACTGCGATGTCCACGGGACTCTAAACTACACCCTGTTAGTCGGTAGGTGCTTAAATTTCTAAGTCCGTCGTCTCGTCGGTTCAAAATGTTAAAATTTAGCGAAAAGACTGACAAGTGAACGAAATCAGACGGAATCGACGGTCGCGAGCAAATATTATGAATTATTCAATCACATAGACTTATTTAATTACATAGTTATAACTACCATGTTGTATATTTAAATAAAAAATTAAATTATTTTACTGGTTTTTGTTCTGTCTCTCCCTTTTCCCTAATATTAAGGTGTATTTTTCTATTTCATTACTGGATTTTGTAAAACAATACTCAGTAGTAGCATGGAGTCTGGAATTGTGCCCGGTATATGGCAATAGGCTCACCCCCTATTACATGGGACTCATAACATAAATAGTGAAAAGTGGGTGTTACATTGTACAGTGGCATTAGGTGGCGTTATGTTATGTCTTTTAAAGAGACTACCGTATTCTTACACACCAGACCGTGCTAGTCGAGTCCTCTCTTTCGTTGTTCAATAGAAAATTAGCTTGCAACCATTGGACGTTCAGTATTTGACAGCTGCATTGATTGGACACAGACCTCTTACTAGATTTGCGACGACTAGTGAGCAAAACACCTACAAATGTATTTATTACCTAATTCAAGAGTCCACCTAACTTTTGCGACATTCGATCCGCCATAATAATACTGCCTTCTTACTACACTGTTTTTGAAATATTATTATATTATAAAGATAAAACAATTCATGTCGAGAATAATAATTGTAATTCACAAAATATTTGGACTAAAAAAATCTCAAATTACTTCAGTTGTAATTTCGGTTGGTGGGTCATCGAACTTTGACCATTGTGTCACTGATGCGACCTGTAAAAAATGTATAGCAATTTTGACATCTTATAAATAAAAACTACTTTTAGAAACTATTTTTAATCCGACTACAGACCCCTCTTTTTTTGAAATCGGTTACTTAAAATAAACTTCTCCAAGTGTAACAAACACTTTTCTGAAATTCGAATTAAAATTCGTTCAGCCAATCGTGAGATAATTGCGCACAAACATACATACAGGTCAAACTGGGAAACATTTTTTTTCTTTATTATGTTATGTCGGTTAAAAATAGACAGTGAAATTGTAATATAGAACTTAATACCCAGTTGCAATGTTATACCTACTTAAAACAATACATTTATTTATCTACGTCTTTATCAAAAAAAAAACAAGAATAAATACTATTTGAAAGGCCACTGACCACTTACTAAAGAAGGACCTCTTCTCACACGCCGTGCCCTGTATAAGTGTCGCAGTTGGTGCCGTGAGCACCCTAAAGTTGACCTGGTCAAAGTCCATAGCCTCGTATAGGAAGCGAGACTGTCTGTCACTCAGGATCCAGAGGTTGCCTTCCCTATCTGCCTGGAAGTCGAGGTATTCTTCATTGTGAGGTAAGGAAAGCTTTAATTTTATTAATTTTGTCGATTTTTATGAATTAGATTAGGAGGAGGAGGTATTTGAAAATACGCAAAGTTTGGGGAGTTGATGACATGGCTATTCGTCATATAAGAAGTATTTAAATGTAAAGGAGGCCATACACGCTACAACTACAACTGTGCATGCAAAACCGACAAGCATTAACCGAGCACCGATGCTCCGATAACTGTACAGTTTAATCACATTCACGCTAGGGCTTGTCTGTCAGTTATGCATGCACGGCTAAAACCATCATGCAAAAACTAGCGTGTATGGTCTCCTTTATGTTTTCTTTGTGTTGACTTCAACTTGCGAAAAGTTAAAATTAGAAGACTATCAAACTAGGGAGAATATACGTTTGCCTAGCCTCAATAAGGAACTTTTATCATATTCATCCTACAATATTATGTAATCCATTTTATATTGAAAATACAAATGAATTAGGTAATAAGATCATACTTTGACGTCATTCGGGAACTCCATCAAGTTGCAGTCGCTGAGTATCAGTGGAGTATTGGCGTCATTAAACTGTTTGTTCAAGTTCCAACATCCTAAGCCATTTTTGCAAACCTGTTGAAGTAGATAGAGGGTTAATAATGAGTAGGGTTTTACCAATTTTCCTTTTTTTAAAATCGTTGCCCCACACTATGATTTTTTCCTGTGACGTGACTGACGTGCGTTTACAAACGTAGACATGACACCCAAACCCGTAACAATATTTTGTGGATCACACAAAGAGTTATTCCGTGCGGGAATCAAACTCTTGAGATGTTGCGCGGCAGTCATTTGCCCAGCCACCGCACCACACCAACCGTGCAGGTTTTTGATTAGGTATGTCTATGTTAAAGCGGAGCGGGATCAATACCTACAGTAGTTATATTGACATGCCCGCAGACTACATCTAAACAATATATCTAGGAATTGAAACGTAGACCTGATTAAAAACGAACAACCTTCGAAGTTTCTTGCTCGTTCTTCTCAATAGGGATCTACAGTGTAGATTATTATGAATGATCTACAGTGTAGATTACTATTGAGAATTTACAGTAAATAGCTTCACTAGAAGATTGACCGATAGACTGGTATTTTTAATATTCTGTTTGACGTTTAAAAGAGCCTTCCATTTAAATAAATAATTTTACTCTCCTTAAAATGAACCCAATCACCTGTGTATAGAACAAAACGTTAGTAGACGGATCTATATCGCAGGACGTCGCTTGAGAATTTGGACCTCTATCACCGATTATCTGAAAAAATAAATACCAGTAGAATACAGATCGTCCATCTTTTTTTTAGGGCTGAAAATCATCCAATTACTTCTCCCGCCCGGATGAGACAAGTGCCAGACTCTTACTGACTAAAAACCACTTCGTTCCTACTCCTGCACTTCGATCCGGAGCCCCGGCAACCCTTTAAGTCCTCCGCGGCTGCGTATCGGCATCAGCTCTATTGGGCCCCATCTGTGGTGGTCTAATGGCTCTTTGAGGCGCGGGAGGAACGCGATGCGCCGTACACTTGGGTTACACACGACTACGCTCGGGCAAAGGTCATTGTTTTTTTTTAAGGGAATACCATCATCAGGTTGAATAAAACGTAAAGAAGACTAAAAAAACTTGTAATCTAAAGCAACAGATAAATCCACTCAGATGTGTTGATAATGTCCTTAACAGACCTCGGACGAATGAGTTTTATTTGTTAAACAGATTTAAAGTATAGGTACCTCGACTCCATTGAAAATATCTTCTTTAGGAGCATCCTTATTTCGTAACAGTCTCGTTGACATCCTGAATTGCTTCGTGCTCGAAGTTGGATGCAAATATAAGTCGCAATAACTGCAAGTTCAACTTATTTAAAATCTCACAAAGTTGCGACTGAGTATGGAACTAATGAGTTCTTAAGACCATAGTCATATAATACACGAAATGTCAATTAAATAGAACAAGTAGACTTCTATGAACGCGAAAATAACAGGTGTGATTGTAATGCTAATTCTACTCTAATTACGACAAGTCCGTTCAGAAGGCAATACTAAGAGGAAATTAATACGAAGTCAAACAGTTTGTGCTAATCTTCTGAAGATCTGAAACTAGACTAAGACCATTCGTACCTACGAATATAAACAGTTCTCAGTCATGGAAAACTTACCCATCCTTCTTAGGTTGTGACAACGTGCCTGACGAGACCCCGTCACTCCAATAGAAGTCAATACCTCCTACTTTATAGACCCCAGCGTGGGGATCAAAGTGGAAATAATGGTTCTCTACCCTCCACGCGTCGTTATCATCCATGCTGTACACGATTATAGCGTTGGACCCCATATCTGTTATGTACGCGTAAGATTTTGCGCAATTCTTGCCGACTATTTCGACTGCCTAGAACGAAAAAAGGAATTAGTGCATTGAAGGGGTTTGTGGCGATTTTGATCTTCTAACTCAAAAATATTAAATAGTAGGTAGGTATTTAACCAGTAACAGCTTATATCTTGTTTGAAGGGTTCTAATGCGATTGCTGAGCATGTAGTTTCGAGTTTCATTCTCCAGGCCAGGAGGCGAAAAACTATCATTCCTCGTGTATCTCTAATGTTAAAGAGGTAGACGCCTAAACGCAACGAGTTGTTGGATACTTACAATGCTAGTCAACACCGAAGAGTCTCTCAATACATTTTCATCCAAGACGAACTTCTTAATCAACTCGTCTGTCTTCAAGTTGAACACCAAGACAGATGGCTGCGTCACTTGTTTCACATCCACTGTACAAGTTACAGAGCTAAGTATAGTTAGGAAAGAGAGGACTACTATTTCCAATCTAAGAATATTATCATGGGCAAACCTGGACTAAATTCCCGAATTAGTGAATCTAGAGTTGTCAGATTTTTACCTTAAAAACTTGATTGTTCAATAAGTAGGTATTATTATGACACTTTTGATCGCATTATTCCATGACTTTTTCCGACTCCTAATCCCCAAAAGGCCGGTAACGCACTTGTAACGCCTCTGGTGTTCCAGGTGTCCATGGGCGACGCCGATTGCTTATCATCAGGTGATCCGTCTGCTCGTTTACCGGCCTATGCCATAAAAAAAAAACTTACTCGACATGTCACTGACTCCATTATCCACAACCCAGAGACGGTCACATTTGTCTACATTCACCCTGAAGGTGGACACCACCGTGCGATTGGAGACCACAGAGCCATTTTGGGCTAGACACCCTTCCTGCCAGTTTGGGTACGGGTGCAATGGCGCATCTTGTGTCCCATTCAAGTATACGTAATTTAAGGATGCTGGAATGCCTGGTAGAGAAATAAAATGCATCTTTATGTATTTTGACTAACACCAGGGACAGTACGCAAGTAATACCTTTTTTTTAAGTGTGGGAGAGCCATGCTTCGGCACGAATGGGCCGGCTCGACCGGTGTGATACCACAGCCTCACAGAAAACCGACGAGAAACAACGCTTGTGTTGTGTTTTGTCCTGTGAGTAAGGTTACCGGGGGCCCAATTATTCCCCTCCCCTTCCCCAATCTCCCCTATTCCTGAATCCCCAACAATCCTTGAATACCTGATCCCCAAAAGCCGCTAATGCACTTGTAGCAACTCTGGTATTCCGGATCCAGTCCATGAGTGGCGCCGATTGCTTACCATCAGCTGATCCGTCTTTTGGTTTACCGGCGTGTCACATAAAAAGAAATCATCACATCTTCTGACTAATGATGATGGGTAGGTATAAATTTTGAGAGAGCCTATGATTCTTTCCTGAGACTCTTAATCAAATGGTATCAAGTGGTCGTTGGGTGTATATTAATAAATAGCTTCTAGCCTGTTTTCCACCGCGGTATGGTTATAAACAGCTTGTCCTTCCATCTCGCTAATCCAGTAGGCATGTTGTGTACGGGTACGTAAGATCCGTTAGTGATAGCCGACTCTCTTTCTGAGCCTTTCCATGCAAAATCCATAGTCTTCCATTGAAATTTAGGTGGAATCAACGTAACAGCGTGGTGGAACAAAAATAAAATAATTAGAGGTATGAATAAATATGCCATGTTGTTCAGAATAGGGTTTTAGATTTTTTTACTTATTTTTAGTTTTTTTATATCTTTTATATCAAAAATTGTGTTATAATCATTTTACTGAACATTGTTATGACGTAGGAACGTAAATGATGTTATCAAAATGACACCAAAGAGTTAAGGTTATTTTATGATATTGTTTGTTATCGGTGTTCAAGTTTTATCCAAGATTTTGTCCTAAACACAACTTAATTTTTTTTACTAACTAACTCCAACCCTCCAACCATTACCCAACAGACAACCTCGTAAAGGTCGAAGAGAACTGCTAACTTCTATGCAGAGGAAGCATATAAAGTAAGAAAAAAAACCATTTATTATGTCACGACACACAACAAGAATACAGATACACACAAAAAGCCCATGTGCGTCGCAGCTCAAAAGAGCTCAGCTTAATACTGTGGCCGGAGCACGAAGGCTCGAGTCCACGGCGCTGATTTTTCAGCACCAGCCCGTAGCCCTACGTAAAACGTGTAGGTCACGTCCAACCGACTAATCTGAAACTCATTTTCTGAAGGTCCTGCTGTTAGATGATATTAATAATGATGATGATTATTAAAATGCATGTTTAGTGTCTATGCAGTTGTAATATTTTTGTAAAATGTAAAATCTTTAGCTGTTTAGTCGTCAGTCATTGTACTGTTGGAAAAACTAAACGTAACAAAATGTCAAAATGCGATCCAGCACCGACTACTCGTAAAAAGTAGAATCTTTAGCATCAAGTTGATTTTGTCTAACTTACACCAATATACTCACTAACATAAAAATAAATAGAGGATAGGATTGCTATGCTTAAAAATGTAAAATTAATGGAAAGTTACACAAATCAGCCAGATGTCATTGTCATGTCATGTAAAGCAAATAAAATGTTGTTCAATACGGTCCACTATAATAATTGAAAGAATCCATTGAATGACGTGCTGAGACCTTGGAGTGTTGTTATCAGGAAGTGCATTAGTGTATTTGCCGAAAAAATGTCCACGCAGAACGAAGAAACGGTGGATATTAACGGTGCCGCAAACTCAGAGCCGAGCAAAGAAAAACGCATCGGTTGCGCTCATTACAAACGTCGTGCAAAGTTCGTGGTAAGTTTTAGATCATAAACAGAAGTGTATTGATTGATATTCAATGATTAATTAGGTTTTTATGTGATTGCCGGGAACTAAACAGTCGATAGTCTATATATAAACATAGAGCGTAGAAGTCTCGAGATACTCTAATGACATGCGGATTTAACTAACAAAGATAGTGTCAACGAACTGGAAGACGCAGATCATGCTTTATTTTTGCGGCGAAATAAAGTAATTGTAACTACTCGTTAGAACTGATTTTAATACCAATACCTCTAGCTTCTGTCCCTCTAACCAGTGACCTGTATCAAATAATAGCAGGTGTGTATTGTAGTCAAGTTATTAAAAGAGTCCTTTGTTTTCAAAAGTTCTTGACTTCAATACAACACATGCTAAAAATATCTTAAAAACAAGTCATTAATTTATTCAGCACCATTTTTGAACAGCTTCTAACTTAAGATCATTCAACAATAAACAAAAAGGAGATTGTTTTTCAATATGTTGCATTTACCTTTTTGACTACTAATGAATTTAAAAATCGATTTCCTTAGGTTTGTTAACCAACTTTAATTTAAACATTATTAGGTTATGTGTGTAACAATAGGTCTTATAAAGCTGAAGACTATGTACCTGTATTAGGTGAGTTATTTACCAAGGAAAGTCAGAAAATATTACACAACAATAAATAGAAGCTGTACAGTGGATGAACCAGCTTAACAGCAGAGTAGCTAGACAATTAGTTTTCTACATCCTTTTTTAGTAGATTGGTTAAAGGTTTCACAATTCTAGGTCAGGAATGAATCTACGATAATTGGAAACAAATCCAACGAATGACTTAACATCTTTAGTTTTTGGCATGGAAAAATCTAGTATTGCACTTGCTAGAACTAAAAAAAAATGCTATTTATTTCAGACACCATGCTGCAACAAGGTGTATGTATGCCGCTACTGCCATGATGAGAATGAGCAGCATTACTTCAACAGGAAATCTGTCACAGAGCTGATATGCACAGAATGTGACAAGAGACAAAAAGTTCAGGAGGAGTGCGAGAACTGCGGTGTGCGGTTTGGAAAGGTATGTGGTGTATTTGTGATATAACCCCAATTTATTATTCTCCTATTGTGTTGTGTATATGTTTATAAACAGAAATTCTTACATCTGGAACAATATCAAGAGGCGTTAGATCTGTGATTCTCAACTTGTCGTTTCGGGTCTTTGTGCCATGTGTTTGTAAACTTGTATGTTTATAAACGCACCCACGACACAGGACTAGACAAAAGCAGCACTTTTACACACCAATAAAAAAAAAACTAAATGAAGTTGACTCTTCCTAACTTACTACTCTGAGAAGAAACGATGAAGCAAACTCAGAGGTCCATCACTTTTAAAGTCCAGACAAATATAAAAAATTATATGTGAGATCCTATTACATGGGACTCATAACATAAGTGGTGCTACATTGTACAGTGCCGTAATGTGCACCTCTGCCTACCCCTTCGGGGATAAAAAGGCGTGATGTTATGTTATGTATATGTGAGAATATGATTCTCTCCCTTGTGATGTCTGAGACATGTTTAGGAATTTCACAAATAGGTATACTTATTAGGTATACTACTTAGGTATACTTTATATTGTGTGCCACATTATACTTCTGACTCTTTAGAAATACGGATGTTTTGTTTCATTCTGTAAGTTATACAAACAGAAGTAGTATCTTATCTACTGTGGCCACTATATTTTATTCCCTTATTTGCTTTGTATACAACACACTGAGACTATGCAAAGCCAATTGCTATGATTCTTACATATATGTACCTCTTTCACTTCATCAACTGTCATCAGTCTTTTCATGCATGTTCATCGGTTAAGGGTACTTTTCATTTGGCCCTTCTTTAATATATATACATACATACATAACGTCACGCCTTTTTATCCCCGGAGGGGTAGGCAGAGGTGCACATTACGGCAGTTAATGCCACTGAACAATGTAACACCCACTTTTTCGCTATTTATGTTATGAGTCCCATGTAATAGGGGGTGAGCTTATTGCCATATACCGGGCACAATTCCAGACTCCGTGCTACTACTGAGAATTTTTAAAAAACCCAGTAATACTTTGCCCGGCCTGGGAATCGAACCCGGAGCAGTCACACTTGCGACCACTCGGTCAACGAGGCAGTCTCTCTCAGTTCTTTAATATAATTATCGCCAATCTGGTTGATATATGTCCATGTAGTCCATAGTCTCCGCCTTCACCCATGGGAGACAGGCAACATTAATTTTACTGCTTTTGCTAGGCTGTATAATTATGATACTAATACTATAGTAGGAGTATTCTTCTAGTAAACATTTCATGATGGATGACGATTTTCTAGCTCTTAGGGTCGATTATCAATTTAAATATCAAAAGGGTTTCCAAAAATTACTAACTAGGTATAGCAGATATTTGTCTAGGTCTAGACTATCATAGGTCAAATCTAGAGTCAGGCAATTAAATATTTACAGGCAAAATTATTATATAGTTGTGTTATTATTTAGTGCAGAATTGAATGAAAATAAACTACCTAGTGATGACACTATCATCAACATATTTCAACTTTTACTTCGAATTTTTCTAGAAAATATGTTTGTTTGAGAATGTCATATTATCAAGATTTGGCAAGATCACCACATTTATTTGGAAAATATATAGGTCGGGAACATTCGTAGAAACTGCGAAAGTAATAAAGAATTTATTTTATTTCATGAGTCATTTGAAAAATACGTTAAAACTGCAAAATATCAAGCTATTAATCTTTAAAAAAATCGACTGTATGGCCTTACTTTAAAGTTTAAAGTCCATTACAAAGCTAGCCCTCTAGTACGCTCCTTGCATATAATACAAAAGTTATGGCATGTGTCGTGTAGGGCAGCCCCTTCTATACATTTTCCAGCACGCCATGCGTGTTTACGACTTAATGAAGTCATCATACCATACTTTATGTACAATGTTTTTTTTAATAGGAATTTTAATTAAGTGTCGTACGTTTTACATATTTATGTCCGCGCGGTTTCACACGCTCTGCTCAGCTGCTATTGGTCGTAGCGTGATGTTTTATAGCCTATAGCCATCCTCGATAAATACACTATCCAACACAAAAACAATTATTCAAATCAGACTTGTAGTTACGGAGATTAGCGCGTTCAAACAAACAAACAAAAAAACAAATTCACTTAATAGTATAAGATTATTAAAATATTATCATACAGTAAGCTTTCGTTTTATTGCAATATTGACAAGCTTTTGTTTTTAGATTAACTTGAGTATAAGTATTTTAGTTAGCAGTCTTTCTCAGTTTTTTTTCTAAAGCAATGTTCTAGCTTTCATATCTGGATGTGTTGCTAAACTTGACCTTATTAGAATAAGAGCAAATTTTTGAAACAACAGATAATTCTCCTCTGTAGAATAAAATTGACATCGACAGTTTTTAGTATGAAAGATATGTGATATATCCAAAATGATTATTCTGATGAAATTTAACAGGCGTTGGATAAATCCTAATAAGTCTAACAACTTATTGGTTGGCACAGTAGCTGGACAACTGTCTGCGAAATGTATAACGGAATCGATTTCCACATGATGGTTCATGTTCACTCTTTGCGGGTATCCTTACTAATATTATAAATCGGAAAGTGAGTTTGTTTGTTTGTTCCGCTTTCACGTCGTAACTACTAAACCGATTGCTTTGAATTTTTGCAGACGTAAAGTTAGAAGTCCGGATTAAATAATAGAGTACTTTTTATCCCGGAAAAATTTCATATTCCCGAGGGAAAACAAAAGTATTGGTATAGATGGCGCTGTGTGTATTGGTATATGTCACATAGGCTACTTTTTATCCTTTAGTGACGCGAACAAAGCCGCGGGTAAAAGCTAGTAATGTATATGTGAAATTTTATGTATACACACACAACACAAGACAAATCTCAGTGTGCATCACGGTTTTATAAACTTATTATTATTTGTGTTGTTTCACAGTACACATGCCTGATCTGCAATCTGTTCGACGATGATGACAAGCGCCAGTATCACTGCGAGGGCTGCGGTATCTGCCGCGTGGGGGGACGCGACCGGTTCTTCCACTGCGAGCGATGCAACATGTGTCTGCCGGTGCAGCTGCAACAAGTCGGACATAGGGTGAGTAATGACCACTTGAACTAACTGTATTAAGAGTTTAAAGCGGTGACAGCTAGCACTAATATTGACTTGGAATGCATTTTTTTTATAGCATAATCCGGTAAACGAGAGTCTGCTCGTTTATCGGATCACCTGATGGTAAGCAATCGGCGTCGCCCATGGACACCTGGAACACCAGAGGCGTTACAAGTGCGTCACCGGCTTTTTGTCAGGGATTGGGGAGATTGGAGAAGGTGAAGGTAATTGGGCCTCCGGTAACCTCACTCACACGACGAAACACAACGCAAGCGTTGCTTCACGTCGGTTTTCTGTGAGGCCGTGGTATCACTCCGGTCGAGCCGGCCCATTCGTGCCGAAGCATGGCTCTCCCACACTTAAAAATCTCCCACTTGGGACCATATCCCACGAATAAATAGTCATCCGAACATAGTAACTCCTTTATTAAACTCTTTCAAGTCAAGTCAAAGTCAAAATCATTTATTTCAATTAGGCCATAGAGGCACTTTTGAACGTCAATAAAGAAAATTAACAAGTGAAGCTATTTGCTCATTCCAAAGTGTAGATTCCTATTGAGAAGAACGAGCAAGAAACTCCATAGGTTACTCTTTTTCAATCAAGTTCACATTAGATATAACAAACTTTAGATATAACAATATCGAAACAATTTGAGTTGTAGCGTAACCAGCAGCTGTAGCCAAATGCCATTTAGCGCTTGTCTACTTGTAGAATATAAAACTAAATTATATGGAATTGACGTAAATTTTGACACTTGTCAGTGTCATCGCCATACATTTTGATTTCTACTCTCTCTCTGTAGACAAGCGCTAAAGTGGCTAAAGGCCCAGATTGCTGAAGGTACGATACGACCTCAATGATTCTAAATTCTTGTTTGCCAAGCTGTATATTATGATAATTTTCTTCCTGCTAGTCTTGTATAAACTCCATGTGTTTATCTTTTTATGCCTGACATTATTATTGATCACTGCTTCAGTTCATGGGTCCAGTATGGTATTAGAGTATGTATTTAGATTTCACAAAGATCCGATAATTTTGCACTATGTATACTTACATGGGCAAGTCAAGTAGAATTTATCATTTAGTTAGTTATCACAAATACATTTATAATTACTATAATCAGAATTACAAATACTGTAGTTAACTTACCTAACAGACTACAAGTCGTAGTGTAGATTAAAAACTAAAATAGTACACACGGCTACACATAAAGCTTTACATAACCAGTATAAACTGAACGTTAAATGTGCGGAAAGATGATGCGACGCGACTCCAGGATAAACTGGTTTTGTATAGGTTGATGTGTGGCCGTGTGTACGTAGACGAAATTCTAGATACACTTTAAATTTTACCCCGACAAGACTACACATTGTACAACGGATACCGAAAATGTACATAGGTGCAACTTTAACTTTATCATCATCAACAATCACGTGCCCATTGCTGGGCAAACGCCTCTTCTCACACGGAGAAGGTTTGAGCATTAATCACCACGCTTCTCAATGCTGGTTGGCAACTTCAAACTTATAATTAGAAATAATAAGTCCTGGTTTCCTCACGCTGTTTTCCTTCACCGTTTATCAGTAGTGTCTAGATAATCATAGAAAGTACAGTAACTTTATCAATTGAACTTTAGTTGCTTGTTTCTTGCTCACACCATTAACTCTTCTGTGCATCACCCAAAGGTCAGACTGGGAGAAAATGCCTGCGGTATTAAGTCCACCTTATGTACATTTTGTGCATGAAGCTTAAATAAATAAAAAAATAAATAAACTTTACTTCCTCAGTGCGTGGAAAACGTGTCCCGGTCGAACTGCCCGGTGTGCTTAGAGGACATCCATACATCCCGCATCCCGTGCCACATCCCGGACTGTGGCCACTTGCTGCACCGGCCGTGCTTCGAGCAACTACTGCACTCTGGCCACTACGCCTGCCCCACCTGCCAGACTAGCATGATCGATATGACTAATGTAAGTAGAACATTGTTTAATGCTTAAGTCATTTTATTTACTACATTACAGACAAGGGTTAACCCCGTTTAATCTTTTGAACGCCACGGTCGACTATAGCCGACAAACAAAATATAACGTGATACGTCACAGTCGGACACAGCCGACAAAAAATTATCACGCTTTTTAACCCCGAAGGGGTAGGCAGAGGTACACATTACGGCACTTAATGCCACTGTACAATGTAACACCCACTTTTCACTATTTATATTATGAGTCCCATGTAATAGGGGGTGAGCCTATTGCCATGTACCGGACACATTTCCAGACTCCGTGTTACTACTGAGGTTTTTACAAACAGTAATACTTTGGCCGACACGAGAATCGAATCCAAACTTGCATTTGCGACCACTCGGCAAATGAGGCAGTCTGCAGCAAAAAATGATTTATAAGTACATTAAGTTTGTCTGCAGCTGACCTCGGCGGTCAAAAGGTTAAACTATTCGTATTCTTCTACTCCAATGATATCTTCGGTTTTGTTTCGTTACGGATTCCGGGACAATATTTCGGTGTTTTCGTGGTGATTTACTATGGACGAAACATTTATTGTATTAACTATTTTGTGTTTAAAAAAATGTGCTGGACTTTTTATCAGACTGCCAAAAGCAGAGTTATAATTTATTCCTAATGTCATGATATTATTTTCAGCTGTGGAGTTATTTAGACTCTGAAGTGGCAGCTACGCCGATGCCGCCGGAGTACGCGGACTACAAGGCGACCATACTCTGCAAGGATTGTCATAAGGTGAGCAATAATAGCATCCAGAATATTTTCACTACTGAACAAAGGGCATCCTCATAACATAAGGTTTTTTATAGTCCCATTAGTGTTAGCAGAGCTCGCTTTGCAGGTAAGCCTTCAAATTTGAAAGGATTGCAGAAACTTGGGAGAAAACTGGAGGTTGTCCTTCGATGATTTACATATTTTTTTATTAACAGGAGTAGGTTTCCCATTGGTAAGGTGTCATGTTATTTATAATAATAATATATTCTTTATTGTCACCACATAAACACAAAGACAACAAATTATAATATATCAGTAACATGTATTTAAGTAATATTATGTTCCAGTTATCGACGGTAAAGTTCCACGTGGTGGGTCTGAAGTGCCAACACTGCGGCGCCTACAACACATGCCAGACCAACGGGTTCCATAAGTAAGTGTATCAGTACACATACAGAAGTTTCACAGACATTTGTTTATTTTGCGTGGAAAGAAGCATAAGTATCGGAATAAGTAATTGCTCAAACGAGCCTACAACTGACTCATTCAATACTGATTCTATAATCGGCGTTATTAAATTTGAAGTTTTTAACAAACCATTAGGAATCTAGAACAAATTTCCGTGCGTTTAGGCGCTTTTGCCATACCTATTATTGGAAGTAAGTATAACAGCTCACACCGACCTACTTAGTTTTTAGTCAAATTTTCGTGGTGCTTGGCGACTGGGCTTCACCCAGTTGTACAGTCTCTTTTTTGTGCCTTTATGCTTAATTCATTCTGTCTCCTGCAGTAATTCACCGAGGGAAGTGGAAACTATCGTTTTTTTTATTCTTCTCTCATAATATCTTCTAATTCACTTCGTTGCGGGAACAAAGACAGTTATTCATATACCTGGGACGCGCTGGACTTCAGTGTTCCGATGTTTTCATGGTTGTATCTACTGTAGACCCTGGCTTACAGGAGTTGCAGCGGTTTTGGGAGGTTGTGGCGGGCTTGTCCCAAATAAATACCGTTAGAGTAACTACCACGCGTCCCCGACTGCTTATTGCCTAAAGAATAAGTTACTATAACTTTACAGGGACTCAAACAGCACGCAAGCCGGCGACTCGTCGACCGCTACATCAACGTCGACTAGTCGCAGCGGATCGTCGTCTGCGACATTCCCAGAAACGCGCGAAGAAACGCAAAATGATGAATTGCCGCGCGCCAACCCAATGGACGAGCCGCCGCAAGCTTGACACATCATGTAGACGCTTGCGACACGACTGATCGCAACAGTCACACTTGTCGCACGACAAGTCGCATCTTTTATAAGGTGATGTTAATTATTGTCTTTATTTTTTAGATTGTCGCACGTATGGTTGTCGTGTCGGTCGTCCGATTTCATTGTTGTCCGATAAGTTGAAAGCAATTTGACATATCTTGTGAATTATATTTATTTAATTTTATCGTCTAGTTACATATTGTATTTTAGGGATTTTTTCGTCTGGCAATACCTGTGTTCTGTGAATATTTTTGTTTTGTATCTGATTGAGGTTTTTTATTGTAAAATGAGAATATATTAATATGCATATATTAATATTAATATGCAATATTAATATGCATATTATAATTACTAACCAAATAATTATATGGATAATATATGTATGAATTATGATTATAACAGGTGAACTTTGTAAGTGGGTCTGGCAACACTAGTGTATGACCCGACCTCGCTCATAAGTTGCTCATAGTTGTAGTATAATTAATTATAATCTGTCCAATATATTAAGCGTTTCATCTTGTATAGGCAGCTCATCAAAATACCACAAATTGTCAAAATTATTTTGATTAATTTTCAACTTTATTGCGAGGTTCATTCCAGATCTCAGTGGGTCTCAGGAGTATGGCATAAAGCTCGCCTTCTCTTACAAGGGATTCATAATATAACTGGTAAAAAATAGGTGTTACCTGCATTGAATTTTCGCACCACTGCCTAGGTTAATAAGGTTGAAAATCGATTAAAAAAATTGATAAATTGACGTATTTTGAATGGCTGTTATGCCACTGTACAATGTAACATCCACTTTTCACTATTTATGTTATGAGTCCCATGTAATAGGGGGTGAGTCTATTGCCATATACCGGGCACAATTCCAGACTCCGTGCTACTACTGAGGTTTTTTTTTAAAAACCCTGTAATACTTTGCCCGACCTGGGAATCGAACCCGAGACCCCTTGCTCGGCAGTCGCACTTGCGACTACTCGGCCAACGAGGCAGTCTTTTCTCGTGATTATATCTTTTCCAAACTGTCAGTCTCTCGTCTCTACGTGACACTTAACAGTGTTATTGATGAAAAGTGATTGTAACATTAATATTTAATACACCCCTACTTACCCCTCTGAGGACTGACTTCTTCATTAGTACATCTATGTACCTACCTCTCTGAGTCCAAAATTCTGATGATCAGTGGTCATTAACTAAGTTTAACTAAGTTCTAACAACGATTCCTTCATAAATATGATTTCCTAGAATTGAAATATTTCCAAATCTCGAGAAAGAAATATTATGTACTTATTAGGATGTATCCTGATTCATTAGATTTATTTCACGATCTCCTGGCTTGCCCTTAGCTATTGGTTAATGAAGTTTAAGTTAGGTTAAATTTATACTAGAGCAGAGTCGAAGCGCATCGAAGCGTGTTTCCAAAACTGAACATAACAATTTCAACCTTAACTCCACAGCGTAACGCACACATTACTTCTGAGATATGAGTCAGCGTTGTTCACGAAGGAGTTCCGAAACATGTACGCGTTTTTTCTTTATACACGAGCACGGCCTTTATACACGAGCTTCTGCCCGCGAATTCGTACGCGCAGTTCCGGTTTTTCCCTTTCCCGTTTGTGATTTTCGGTAAAAGGAAACAAAAAGTAAATATTTATTTATTTAGTCTTTAATGTACATAATTTGTTTATGCCACATAAGGCGAACTTAATGCCATATGGCATCCTCTACCAGTCAACCTTAGGGTTTAAGTAGAAAATCTGCGAAAAATAAGGTACGGAGAATAAACTAACAGCAGAGAGAGAGAGAGAGAGAGAGAGAGAGGGGAAAAATAATGGTAATTATTAAATAATATAGTTATACACATATATTACACAATAGTAAATAGTATATATAGTCATATGCATAAAATACATAGGTATAAATGCATACATAAATATATATCGACGAAGACCTAGACCCAGCGTTGCAGCGATTTTAAATAAATAAAACATATCCTATGTTTATTTCCTAGCTCTAAGCTACCTCCGACCAATTTACATCCAAATCAATTTAGCCGTTCGTGAGCTATAAATAGTGTAACTAACACGATTTTCTTTTATATACATAGATAGACATTTGATGGGCCGACGTTTGGCCACTATCTCGTCTAGTGGTTAAAGCGATGATGCGGACTATTTGCGATCCCTTTAAAATTTCTAATGTGTACGTTACGCTGTGAAGTTAAGGTTGAATTTGTTATGTTCAATTTTAGAAAGACGCTTCGATTCTGCGCTAACATAAAACCTTTATGTACTATAATAGGGATGATGACGGGGTATGAAAATCAAAAATCTAATTAGTCCGTAAGTTAGGTAACGAAAAATATTAGACACGTATTTTTTATTTTGTCGTATAAGAAAACAATACTTAGATAAAACGAATCAAAGTTTAGGAGCAGGGGCTAAAACGTCCTTTCTAACATATAAACTGTACATAGAAGTGATGTCACGCGACATTTTAAATCAATATATCGTCGAAAGTATTCGTTTCTGTAAGAAAATAAAAAATACGTGTCTAATGATTTAAAATAATATACCAGACGGACATTAAAATAAAAATTAGGCATCTACCCTATTATATTCATGACTTCAATCCTTTTATAGTTGACCGTCTTAAACTCCGTTGTTTATGAAATCTGTTTTTTAAGCAATATCATAAACGATTACCCATTAAAGTTAATCAATAACATGTTTATATAATAACTAGTTATTAACATGAATAACCCTTTGTCGTTTCCAATAGTAAATAGCTATAGGTCGTTGCTAGAATTTTCTCAAACTTTTTTATCTATAATACTAAGTGATATGGTTGATATATGCTTAGCTTGAGTGAAAATTGAAAATATTGGAACTATGTGATAAATTAATAAGTGTTGTGTTAATACATATTATTGTGATGTATCTCTATTTACTTAAAAAATCTTTGATATTCACGAATGTAGCAAAATATTGTTATTTTTTTATTTTTCCTCATCCCTAGATGGTTTTGTCAATTATTTTTTATCTTCTTATATAGCTAAATATTGTATATTTTATAAATCACATCACAAATAAATAGGGGAAGCATGAATATCGTACATTAACTTTCTATATTCTGTTCCTGTCATTATACGGTAAATTATATTGCATCTCGCTCGCACAAGATGGTACCAAACCTTCAAAAAAGAGCGCATATTAAACGTTACCCCGTTTAGCCCTCTGATTGGTTGGTTTATTGGAGTAGGCCAATCAGAGCGCCGACCGTCATGAACGTGTCGATTTGCAAGATTGCAGATCATCTAGTAATGCGGGTGTCCATGGGCGGCGCTGGTCGCTTACCATCAGGTGCACCGTCTGTTTGTTCCGTATCTCATGTATATCGCGCGCGCCTTAAAGAGCCATTAGACCACCACAGATGGGGCCCAATAGGGCTGATGCCGATTCGGAGTCGCGGAAAACCTAACGGGTTACCGGGGCTCCGGCTCGAAGTGCAGGAGAAGGAACGGGGTGGTTTTTACTCAGTAAGAGTCTGACACTCCCTCCGCCTCACCCAGGTGCGAGAAATCATTCGATGATTTTCCACCCTTAAAAAAAACCCATGAATATCGGTAGGAATCGGATCAAGTCAATGTACGATGCTTTCAGTTCTCCCCTAAAATTATAATCTTTGTCTTATTCCATATCTATCAAATTGACCCTAGATTTAAGTAGACTAATGTTTTAAAATGTAATTTATTAAGGTGTTCAACGTTTGGCAGGCTATATATATATATAGGCGGTTTTATTTAGTCTGTATTGTCACCAAACTGTTGTTGTTAATAGCTTTCATTACGTTCCAAGTTATATATTGATTATAATATACATTTTGCCAAATTTCCTTTGCATTTTTTAAACTATTGTTAATAGTATTTTTTTTTGTAACATGCAGAAAACGAGAAAATGTACTTTATTGTTTTAACCTTTAAGTTCTATGTTGACTGGAGGTATTAGCTTATTCGTTAAAACTTCAGCTAGAGTTTTGTAAAATAGATGTTTATACCACTAATAATAAAGTACATTATTGAATATTATCAGAAAATGTTAGAGGTTTTCATGGTCATAAAAGATTAACAGATACATTTCAGAATGTATAATATAATATTAGATTGTTCTACTCTACTTATTATGTTGTTTTTGCGTTGTATGATGTGAGTGCAGCGAATAAAATGCGATGTTTATAATACCAATTGTTGTTTGATTTATTTATTACTTTATTACCTTATATCATTATCATCTGCCTCGTTGGCCGAGTGGTCGCAAGTGCGACTGACAAGGGCCGGACATGGGGTCTCGGGTTCGATTCCCGGGTCCGGCAAAGTTTTACTGGGTTTTTAAAAAATCCTCCTTTATTAAAAAAAAATCTCGATAGTAGCACGGAGTCTGGAATTGTGCCCGGTATATGGCAATAGGCTCACCCCCTATTACATGGGACTCATAACATAAAAAGTGAAAAGTGGGTGTTACATTGTACAGTGGCATAGTGGGCCCACTTTACCCAAAATCATTCTGACTCTATCCATCAATTAAAAATTATGTCTTATGAGCCCAGACCTCTGGTTTTCGAGGTATTGCAAGTTTTTCTATAAACTATTTATTTATCTTACTAATGGATTTATATTATTTCTGTGGCGGACATGAAGATTGCGATGATGATAATGATTATAACATAACATCACGCCTTTTATCCCCGAAGGGGTAGGCAGAGGTGTACATTATGCCACTGTACAATGTAACACCCACTTTATTTTACGAGTCCCATGTAATAGGGGGTGAGCCTATTGCCATATACCGGGCACAATTCCAGACTCCGTACTACTACTGTGATTTTTTTTAAAAACCCAGTAATACTTTGCCCGACCCGGGAATCGAACCCGAGACCCCTTGCCCGGCAGTCGCACTTGCGACTACTCGGCCAATGAGGCAGTCTATATATAACCTATATAAAACTTCTAGTAAATGCAGGATAAAATAAAATACGAAATGCTTTGCAAAACACTTTATTTCATCGAAATGTTACAAAACTTTATAAAACATTCTCCCTTAACTAGGAATGATTCGGGAATGTTTGAATTTGAAGCATAATACATTTGAGGGCACAATTATTATACATGTATTAGTTAAATAAATACATTAAAACTAGCATATGTACAGAATATTAATTTATTAGCTAGGCATGGGAAGTGTATTAAAAACGCGTTGAACATGTAATAAAATACTACATTTTCTCCACTGGCAATACTTTGTTACAATTAGAAAGTCATTTAAATATTGTATATTTATTATAACAGTACATGATTTTAACACATGATATTCCACAACACAACAACTCTTGCATACATTCACAATAAAAAAATATTGATTTAACACGCACATTCAGCATTAGCAGACATGATTTATGAAATTATCAAAAGGAACCATGACCAAAAATAAATTAGGATTCTCGAAATGATTGCACACATTTTATAAGCAAATAGAAATACGGAACACATTAATCGCCACGGGGGTCACTCGTGACGGACGTTAGCAGAGGATTTGCCTTGAACAGTTTTTATTGGCAGTCAAAGCCTTAATTAATTTTTCTTTTAAAGGTCTTTAATTGTATTTCATTTAGCTGCTATTTAGCTAAACGTTTATTTAGTAAGGACACATTTTGTTAGAAAGTATTAACTTGTGTACAAGTCTCTATTTTCTAAAATGTATTAAACAGTAACTTAAGTACTTGTTTTACTTGATGTATGAAGTTCACATAGAAATAAGGTACAATAAGGATATGTATTGGTAAAAAAACACCAATAATATTTCCGATGAATTTCTAACAATCTCGCACACTATATCAGGCATATAATTTATAAGCACGGGTGAATATGAATTTACTTACAGATTACAAATTTCTATGTTACAAAAAGTTTGAAGCTGTAAAACAGAATGACAAGTTAGGTCATAAAAATGAGGCATTATACTGGGTTCCGTAGACTTTTTTACATTTCGGGAAGCACTACCCTGTAGTTTCTCTTTTTCTACACTGTAATATCTCTGATTAACAACTAAGAAACATATGACGTAAGAATCTTAAACACCAGTGGCGCCATCTACTAAGCGCAAAAATGTCATTTATATGCCTAACCTGTCCAACTGTCTTAAAAAAAACTTTTAACTTACAGTAAATAATGTAACGCTTACAAGCACTTAGTTTAACATTATTATTTTGCAGAGAATTTTAACATTCAAATTCATAACAATTTGTTATCAAAAGCTACAGATATTGTTGGATGAGCAATAGTTACAATTGAGCTCAATGCGCGTTCAATATATTAGTTTATACAACATACATACGTACATTAGTTTATGATAACAATAGATAGATACCTACTAAAAAGATAATATTATTCACGACTTCTTCTATGAAGTTTTCACATTTAGAAGCTAAAATGAGATGTAAGATCACCAAAAACCGTTGAATAATTTTCAAGTTTGGATGGTTTACGTCACATTAACGCCGTCTAGGGAGTATGAAAACTGTCTTAGCCGAATGCATCACTTTACTGCTTCGCATTTTCCAATTCACATATTTCTATACCAGGCCTTTTAAGCCATAAAAATATATGGCAACACTTCGAAATTCTACAACACTCAAAGACTGACCAATGACAGTCGCTCTACTTAAAATACTGACATTCAGCTAGAAATCTAATTAAGAGCTTAAAGGTAGAAAATAGTATTTATTAACTACTTTTGGTCTAGTTTTGTATTATTTTCACAAATTGCATATCATAATCTTAAAATATAATTGTTTGTTAGCATTATTTGTTAATGTTAAAATATGAAAAAAAATCAATGAATGTTTCGTTGCTCATTTAAAGACATCTAAGGGTGCGTCCACATCTGGCGAATGTGCAGCTCGCGACCCGTTTGCGACCTGCCCGCGTGCATTTTTTCGTGCGCCGCTTCTGCGCCCCCGCGCGCGACTAAACTAACTAAATTAAAAAACTAAATCACAATACTAAATAAAATTATTTCGTTTCGAACCATATTATAAATAAGGGGTGTGTATTGCAAATTAATATAAAGGGATAAAGTTATTTTTACTGATCTATTAGGTATTAAAATAGTAAAATAAATTGCTAGCTACAGTAAAAATTGTTCTAGTAATATAATGAATAGCTATCGTAGAAAAGGCATAGACAAAGTAATTTTCAATGTTAATTTCTTTCCTTTGGCATAAAGTCAAGTAATGTATCTATACAAAGTTAAACTAAAATATAACTATAACTATGTTAGAGCGACCGTTAATTTTGGCGGAAGTTAACAAAAGTGACATTTATTTGACAGCAAAGCTCTTAATGTTGCCATCAATTATTTATTTTATTAGTAAATATATTTTAATAATTTATTTAATTTTAATAACTAAATATATTATGCAATTTCATCTGTACTTGTTATACTGAGATCATATTTAGCACAACTATTTTGTTATAAATTATACTTCCTAACAGGAAATGTTTCAACATTCTCATCATGATCATTTACTGTTAAAAAATGAAGTAAGGAGGCTATCGTGAAATAAGGTCTCATATGCAATGTAGCATTTAATTTGTTGATGAACTTTTAACTAGCTACCGTACTGTAATTTGTTAAACCCTTAAGATTTTTTAAACTCCAGGGGAATCACAGGTGCGATACTGTCAGTGATGATATTTACTCGGCACAAAAATATCACAGGGCACAGTATCGCTTCTATGCCGTGACAAATATATAGATTTCTTATACCTAATATTAAATAAGCATCTCTTGCGGCAATAATAGCATATTGATTTCAAATTTACATATTTTTATAAAGGCAAAAGTGTAGAGGTATATCGTACTAACACGGAAATAAAAATCATTTATATCGATATAGAAAGATATGATCAATACTAGACTGATAAATTACCGATATTATTCATGTTTTGATTGGTTTTAAGCATACATTTCCAATTTATTCATTTATTATCGAATCATAATGAGTTTAAGAAATTTAGCTAAAACAGGATTTGTTTTCAATACCAAGACTTTGTGGGTAATTATTAACCACTACGTTAATAAATGTTTTCATATTTAGATAGTTTCGTTTTTAACTAAAACCGCGGGTTACTCAAGTGAAAATACTGAGAAAAGCTTTACTCGACATCGCCGCAACCGCGCACGCTGCTAATGAGAAAGAACCCCTCTGTAGTTCGAAACTAGTA